TTGTCACTTTGCTTCACATTTTTCTGATTTAGAAAATGGTTACAGAACGGATTAACCTTATTTACATTGAACCTAGTGAGGAAGTTTAACTTGACTCATGACCAATTTGGGTCATGACCAGAGTCCTGGGATGGATTAAGTTCATGAGCCAAGGTACCACTGTATACAGAAATCTTAGCATCTTTGTAGGTGTGGCTTCCCTTGAAAATGACAGACAAGCCCATTTTCTTACCACAGGGCAGCTTTTACCAGGAACTTTCGATATTGGGTGGTCTAGAAATTTTGCGAAGGGAGGGAGGGAGGGAGGCTCTCTTTCCTTCCTTCCCAGGTGCTCAGGCTGTAATCCTTTGCAAGTTTAGATACGAAAAATGTCTACTGCACCCAGCATGCCCTGGGGAATTCTACTGGCTGGGGCATGCTGGGAGTTGTTTGGGAGTTATTTTCTGTCTAAGCTTGCATTGGATTGTGGCTTAATTTGTTTTATAGTGTACAAGTATAGAGCTGGAGTTCTGCATTGGTTTCAAGTTGGATTTCTTTTTGATTTCAGCATTTTCCTGTTCTCCATTATTAAGTCATGTTTTCTCTTGGCCTTTTCCTTGCAGTGAAAAATCCTTATTTTCTGTTGTTTTGCTTTCTTGGGGCATCATCCAATCATCTCTTGAGGTAACAGGGGGTGGTGGGAGGGAGATGGGATAGGCTGGCAATCCAGCTGTGACCTTGGAAAACTCCTCTGGGATTGGAGCCAGGGCTTTGGCCTCAGGGGGTCCTCTCTCCCCACTGGCAGCTAGCGTGGCTCTTCTGCTCCAGAGGGGGGCCAAGGTGACAGACCACCCTCAGGTCTGGCATGGGCCACCTGTTATGGGGACGGAAGGAGTCAGACCCACTGTTCTCAAAATAATCCCAAGAATGCTCTAGCTACTGGGGAAGGCTAGACTAATGAGTCCGCCCGGCTCCATGAACCCATCCCACATAGGAAACCGACTGTGTAGGGCAGGGGCTGAGAGGCTCACGGTGAGGGATCCTTCTGGGCATGCCCAGCTGGCTGCACCCTTTCCCCATGTCCACACCCCGTTATTCCGACTGTCCATTGCAAGGTGGCTTCTTTCCCTGTTCCAAGCAACTGAACATCCGGAGGCCGACTGGCAATAAGTGCTTTAGGCTAAAACGTGCCACTATTTTGGGTTGAGTCCAGCCTTCCCCAAGCTTGTGGCTCCCAGACATGTTTGGACCACAACACCCAGAATTCCTGGCCGATGGCCCTGCCGGATGGGAATTCTGGGAGTTGTGGTCCAAATGCTTCCGCAGGCCACCAGGCCACTGCTCTGGTCTACTGAGTGCTCAAGGAGTGAAATCAGAGGAGGCTGGAGATGCTCGGGTCGTTGGGGCCCCTCTCTGCAGCTTTTCTTTTGAACATCGCAGGAGCGCCAGACTGGGGAGACACTTCCAGGGAGACAGAGTTCAGCACCACGGACAGCTCTGCCAAAGCTCACAGCTGCTGGGACCCAGCCAGGGACCTTTGGCAGCTGGGCGGTACAGTAATGCAAATATTACAGTAAGGCCCATCCCAGCACTCCTGCGTACAAGCACAGGCTCCTGCGCCTCCAGACTCAGCGACTTCTGGGCATCCAAGGCCAGGGACCAGGCATGATAGTTCTGGTCTCGGTCGCCACTGTGCCGGCTGCCTTGCCGCTACCTGCCATCTAGTCATCTCCGACTTGGCAACCCAACGAATGAGCACGCTCCGAAATTCCTGCCTTGGCAGCCCTGCTCAGTCCCTGCAAAGGCAAGGCTGTGGCTCCCTTTTGGGGGCTCATCCACCTCTTCCTTGGTCCCCCTTTCCTTTCCCCACTTTCCAGTTTTCCTAGCATGATCATCCTCTGCAGGAAGCCTGGCCTTTGCAGGGCGTGTCCACGGTGCAACAGCTTCAGTTTCATCATTTCCGCTTCCAGGAAAAGCTCTGGCTTGCTTTGACCCACTTTCCGTTGGCCACAGAGCTCCCCGCCAGAGCCATTGTTCAAATGCTCAAACCCGTTTTCTTCTTGTTCGCTTTCTACACTGTCCAGCTTTCACTCCCACATGTAGTGATTGGGAATACCTTGGCGTAAACGATCTCAGCCTTGTCCTTACACACAATCTTTTCTAATTCCTTCATTGCTGTCCTGTCTTCCCAGTCTTGGACTTCTTTGAATTTCTTGGCCGCAGTCTTCTTTGAATTGCACCAAGGTATGCAAGATCATGACTTGGAAGTGATGCCTCAGCAAGGTATGCAAAATGTTTCAGTGTCTTCATTATGGTCACGAGAGTGGGTAATTCTTCTATAATTGTTTTCTTGAGGTGCGGCTGCAGGTCTGCCTTCACACTTTCTCCTTCCACCAGTCGTCCTTCCAATCGTGGCTGCTTTCTGCCAGGAAGAGCATTCTCAGCGTATCTTCAATTCCGACATTTTTCACTCTTCCTTCCTCTGATGCTAATCTGGCTTTCCTTATGAGTTCATCAGATGTTTTTGGCGATCTGAGTTTAGTGCCAGCGAGTGGGAGGAAAAAGCAAATCCAATTCAGTAGCTCCAGCCTCTGCCCGCAGACACCACGTCCCCCTCCAAGGTCTTGCTGCCATCTTGGAAGAGAATTCAGCATAATTCGGTCTGCAAGGGACTCAGCTTTCCGTTTCTGAGCACCAAGGCCAGAGGACCTCCATGCTCAAATTTGGAGGAAGCACATGGTCTCCAGATGAGGTTGGGAAGCTGTACAGTTGCACCACTGCTCAAAAGAAAAGCTGCAATGGACAAGAGGCTCCACAGATGTAGGAACTGCCAACCTCGCTTGGATACAATAAACGACCAGCCAGTAACTTCTGAGAGGGATACAGGTTTCTCTTCCTGTCCCTTTTCTTACATTTTGTAGTAATACCAGTGAGAATTATTATTATTTCAACACTAAGGCTAAGCTTCTAGTTGAGGTTATTGGGCAAATATAGGCAAATTATAGTAAGTTTTTCCTTTAGGCTTCCAGTTCTTATTCTGGATTGGGTTCAAGTCTGTGCTGCTGAAGGCACTGCACACCAAAAATATTAAAATCCAGCATATTATTCCTGTGAATTCTCTTCTTTTCATTTCCTCTCTCGTCTTTACCTTGAATTTTCCTTCTGCACATTGGCAGCATCCAAAGTGGGGGAAACGCAAAAGGAGAAATTCCTTTTGATAAATTGACTCAAAACAGAAAGAGAGAGAGAGAGAGAGAGAGAGAGAATGAGAATGGAAAATTAAACCAGACCTTTGCAGCAATCAAGGCAAAGACAAAGCCGAGCTCTGAATGGCTATAAAAAGGGGAAAAACTATTTCCTTTTTCCATCACGCCTCCATTTTCCCTTAGTGTTCTACAGAGAGTGTTGATTTAGGACTCCGCCACTCTGTTCTTTTGCCTTTGGCTAATAAGAATACACGTGCATCCTCTAAATAAATTGTGTGTCCTTCAAATGCACTTTGGTGGAAGTATAAAGGCTTCCCTGGCAAACAGCTTGGCTACAAGAAACCAACCACAGGCAAAGCTAACAAACAAAGCAGAAGAAAGGAAAGCCCCACTTATTAGACGAGAGAAATAATGGCACAGATATTTTAATAACCTCCCCTGCATCAACACATGGGTGCGCTTCCCACACGCTGCTGACCACCTTCTCTTGATTCCTTTCATGGACCACTGAAAAGCATCATCACAAAACCATCACACAATCCATGGAAGGTGAGTAACAGTTACTAATTACCACCACAATTAGTGACAGCTTGTGGGTAACTAGTTGCATGAGGAGGATGCGCCCGGCCTCGCTGATTGCTTTTAATCTTGGGCAGAACTGGCCTTGTGCTGCAGCCGATGATATTCCTTCAGCCTATACACCAAAGGAAGGAAAGGAGGAAATTCATTATGAATTAACAGTAATACCAGGCCAATTTGCAGCAATTAAGGTAGGCAAGAGGAGGAGGGGGCTGGGAAAACACAATGTGCGTTTAACAAGATGTGTTTCCTTCATTTTTCCCTTTCCCATCACCCTAAACACCCGATTGTCACATAATTAATCTATCTGAAGGGAATCAACCGGTGCACATTAGAAGAGTGAACAAAGCAGTTAACGGACTAGGGGGAACCTATTATTTAAATGCGTCATTCTTTTTATGGTTTATAGAAGGGGGGGCATGGCAGACAGGGCAAAACCGCACCACACAGATGATTGCAGATGGTGTTAATTAGCTGGGATTTCCATGGCTGGGAAGTTTGGTGACTGGTTATGGATGCTGGATTCTGTTATGGGAGTCACGCATGTGTTGGTGACCCATTGCTTGGATGGTGAAACTGAGCTGATCGGGGCATAGGCTTCTTGCGTAGCCCTCTCCAGCCTGCCTCCCTTCGCCATGTGCAGGGAATCTTCCTTTACGGAAGAGTATGGGGTAGCCCCGCCTGCATCGCTACGTGGTACAGGCCAGAAAGGACTCTGCGGGGCGATTTTGCTGAAGGCGGGGCTGATCCCTGAAGGGCATCTTTGCAGGCCAAGACGAAAGCTGGGACTGACTGGGCACCAAGAGTTGGAATCATCAACCAGTAGGGGCCAAAAGGCCATGAGGTCCAACCCCCTGCTCATTGCAGGGCTCCAAGGTGTAAACCCTCTTTTGCAGGGGGCTGCCCAGCTGCCTCGCGACTGCCTCCAGAGCCCGCCACCGCCCTCGGCCCTTGGTGCTGCTCCAACAGCCAGGAAGTGTTCCCTGAAATCTAGCTGGGACCTGGCTTTCTGCCACTTGAGCCTGTTTTTCTGTGTCCTTCACTCTGGGAAGATCTAGAGCAGGTCCTGGCCGACCTCTTTGAGGAGGACTTGCAGAGGGCTAGCACGGCTCCCTTTGGAGAATGCACACACAGGCACTTTAATCAAGGGGAGAAGGGCGTGCACTATTAAAAAAATTGGAATAGAGGCATGTATCCAGGTTGCTGCAGAAAGGAGAACAGCCTTATGCCATCGGTGCGGGTTCTCAATTTTGGGGGGTTCTTGGGCGAGATGCCTTCCATGGCTCCCCCCCTTAGCAGGCCAGGATGTCTCCTGCTCCTCCTCTTCACCACCACCATCTGGGCCAGAGTGAGGGACTGGAATGAGGAGGAGGAGGAGGAGGAGGAGGAAGAGCAAGGCCAGGGACTCCTGCCAGTGGGCCCTTCTTGCCGCCCAGTCACACCCACAACACTGGCCCTGTGTCCCCGTTTCTTTGGATCCTGGCTTTTGAATTCAGCAAGACACTGTCCACCATGATGTCATGAAAGAGCACCAATGAGAGAGAACTTTTTCCAAGCACCTGACAATGAAACTGGAAGACGCTGCTTGCCGCAAATGTTGCCAGATGCCCCCCAGGACAGCAATGCCCTCCAGACGAAGGCTAAGCCAGGGGCCTCTTAAGAGGTGCCAAAGTGACCACGCACAGCCAGTCTTCCTCCCAAGACTGGTTTGCACGATCGGCAGAGTGACCCAGGGTGGCAAGCGGGAATGAAGTGTGTTGGTGCAAACACGGCTTTGACCGTGTGCCGATACCAACCTAAGGGAGTTGATGTTAATGAACCCCGTGGCATCCGAAGGCTCGTAATCTCCTTGAACGTCCATGCTGTGGGGAGGAAAGGTGCAGGAAGGAAGTTAGGATCTGTGGAGAGGACCCCTGGGAGAAACCTGGGTGCGGTTTGGGGATGCTTCGGGGTAAATATCCCAGTCAGGATGCTGCCACATCCACTCAGTCTGTTTTGCGGGTTGCCAGGTGCTGTTTGTTCCACTGGCCACGCATTAACAGAAGTGCATTTTATGGAAATGGATTTGTATCCATCTGTACAGATTCACACATCTGAACATGCATGGGTCTTCCCAACCGACATACCCATCTCTTTTTTTTAAAAAAAGGCTTTTCATGCTTTATTCCATGGGGGAATGCACATTTTTGGTCCATTTAAAGTCTTTTTCTATGACTAAATTTTTGTGGATTCACTCGAAGGCTAAAAAGCTGCCGGCAAGTCTGCAGAATTTGGGTGGCTTAGGAAAGACAGGTGTGTTGTGGGAACTGCAGATACAAATTCACACTCCTTTGTTATGGATTCCTCTGACATGCAGGGTTCAGGATGGGAGGGCCAACCCTCTTCACCGAAGGGCTCAGCTGAGTGCTGGCACTCTCTGGAGCTGCAGCCCAGAGGTGGGCAGGGCCAAAAGGGCGGGCTCAACATGCCAGGCTGTTTGAGCTGGCAGCCAATAAGGAAGCTTGGGAGGCAATAAGGGGCAGGGCAGCCATGCAAAATGACAGGGGTGCCGGCCAGGGAGCCCAGAGTCAAGCCAGCCGCTTCAGGGTGGGTGGTCTGATGGTCTGAACCCAGTCTTTAGAAGTCTGCGCTCGAACCTCTGCTTGCGCTAACACACCAGGGCTCCGGTGGGATCACTGTTTCTTTTCTAGCCATAATATGGTCCTTTCAGAGCTAGGTGTAGCCCCACCCACTAAATTTTGCTGAAGCAAATGGGCGAGAAATTTCAGGGTTATCTTTTTTAATTAAAACTCACCAAACATGGCACCTTTCTCCACACTTGGGAAAGAAAGATGGAGCTTTTAAAGATGCAAGTGTAGGAGAGAGCAAATTGGAGAGTTTTGCTCAGCCCCAGCCTGGGACCCATTTATGCAGGGGATCCCCAGGCATGGGCCCCAAAGACCTGCCCTGACCCCTTAAACAGAAATGGTTGGAAATACAGGGGTATCTGGAGCCCATGGCCAATGACTCCGACTTGCTGGATTGCAGGTGAAAAGGGGTCCCCATCACCTCTGGGAGGTTGTGTGGTTGTCCGGGGCCTGATCTGGCTGACAAAGCCACCTTTGTTTGCCGCATCACAAGCCGTGCAAGGCCCTGGACCTCTGCAGAGAAAAGTTACCCATCACGCCGAAGCACCTTACCTCGCACGCAGGCCGCCTTTCCGTAACCTCTGGCTTGAACGCCTCAGCCCATTGAGGGCGCTTAGAAAGGCCCCTTTGTTCAGCTGAGTGCATTCCCGTTAATTAAAGAGCCATAAAACATGTCCCACAATTCGCAGTGCCCCCAAGGTCCTGGAAGCAACCCTTTTCCCTCTTCCTCCCGCTCCCCAGCCCATGGTTAAACTTTCCCTCCCTGCTCTCTCAAACAACAATGCCATCGCTTACTTTGCTAAGTGCTAAATGGGAACAGAAACCCCTTCACCTTGGGCCTGACACCTTCAGGTGACCCCCATGGCAGATGCTGCTCTTCTCTTAACATGCTCCATAGGAAAAACGCGATCTCTGAATGGGTGGGGAAAAGCATCCCGTTTAAGTGCTACAGAGATTGTGTGAAGGTTAGGAAGGCACGTGGGCTTCATTTTGCTCTGTAGCAAGTTCTGGGGGAAAGCAAAGTTTTACAAAAGGCTCTGGAAATATTTCCAGATGTGGGGGGGTGCAGTTGCTTTGGTGGGCACTCCCGGACTAACCCGTGTTAACACCAACTGTTGTTATCCCCACAAACCGCCACCTAGATGTCAACTTGGATAAAAAAGCAAAGGGGGAAAAAATACTCTGAGCATGTGCAGTTTTGCGTTTTGAGCTGGTGAAAATCTTAGCATCTACATGATGATAAGAGTAAAATGGAGTTTGCTTCTATGGGCCAGATAGCTTGCTTGCTTGCTTGCTTATTTATTTATTTATTTATATTGTGATTTATATCCTGCCTTTTTCCTACAAAGGGCTCAAGGCAGCTTACATCATTCTCCTCCTCTATCTTATCCCCACAACAGCAACCCTGTGAGGTAGGCCGGGCTGAGAGTCTGTGACTGGCCCAGAGCCGCCCAGTGGGCTCCATGGCTGAGCGGGGACTCGAACCTGGATCGCCTGAGTCCCAGCCCCATGCTCTTCACCACGACGCCACACCGGCTCTCAGAATTAGTACTGTTTTGTTACAGGAAAGGAGCCTCTGTTTTAAAATTATACATGCTAGGTATTCATATGCATGCATATGCATATGGATATAATCATGCAGATTACTCCGTTGGCCGCCCTTTTTAAAAGCTTTGGAGAAAGGTGCCCAAGTGTCAGCCTGGTCCTGAGCTTTAAAGGAGTTGTCCGTGGTGCTGAACCGACATGGCCAGTCCCTTAAAAGCTCAGAGGGGAACCCACACTCCTGCCAGGGCAGCCACTGCCTGGAACCAGAGTTTGCTGGATTTGAGCCATAATCTGGACTCAGGCCATGGTTTCATTTAGCTCAGTGATGCCTGTTCTGGGGGCCGGAAGGCCAAATCCACCGCGCCTGAAGTTCAACTTGGGCCCACTGGAGATCCTTCCTCTGCCTGACCCCCCTTTCCCCAGCCCCCCATCATTTGGGACTTTCCTGGCCTTCATCCCACTTCACAAGGTTGTCATGAGGATAACATGGTGAAGGTGGAGAGTCATGCAAGAGAGAAAGGTGAGATAGAAAGATGATACACCAGCAACCAAACCCCAGATTGTTTCCAAATAGGGTCGTCTCTCTGTGACTGAACAAGAGCCAAAATGCAGGCTACTCAGAATGGGTGGCTGCTTGTTTGTTCCATTCTGGATGCTGTTTGGTGCCTGATTTATACTGTTAAAAGGCTGCAGAGAGCCAGGGGCCTGATAGCTCCCCGCCCTGATGCGAAACCGCAGCGGCACCTGCAGCCGGAGGCTGTTGGTCTGGAACAATCCAGCCAAAAGGTCGCATTTTCACATTGTCACCCACATAAAAACAAACACCCCTGCAATTAGAGTCATATTTTTGAACAGTCGCCCCCACAAGAAACAATAAAGCCCTGAAATTAGTCATATTTGCCTTCTCAACACATGAAAGTCAAAACCCTGCAATTAATCATTATGCAGAAGGCTCCTCCAAGAAAGTCATATTTTCACATCTCCACTGTGCCGGGAGTTGGGGAGGAAGAAACCCCTGCACTCAGAGAGGTCTGTTTTTGCATGCTGTCTCCTTTAACCAATCAACACAAAATCCCTGCAATTAGAAAAGTAGCAGCGGCACCACACCTCCCTTTCCTTGACAGACTAGCTTTCTACATGCAGGGCCCCTTTCACATTCAGGAGCAGTCCAGAGTTTTAGCTGCCGCTTCTGCACAACAAAGAGAACCACACAGCAGTCGGTTGGGCAGGATGTCAAAAGGCCCGTTGTGACCAAAGCATAACGGCAGGCCTGCGATCACATTGCGCTAATTATTCTAATTGTTACTTGAGGAACGCGTGTTTGAGCCTGATGGCTATTTACAGCCTTTTATTATCCAACCCAGCGGTTCCATCTGTCCAAGGAGGGATGACAATACCAACCATCACCATGCACCACATTTAGTCAAGACGACTACCTGTGCAGCGCTTCTGGCTGTAACCGAACGAGGACTTGGGCCGCTCATTGCTCCCGCTGTGAGCCTTTCCTGCCACAACACATCTTTGCCGCATGATTTCAGGATTGCTCAGACACACAACGCGGCGGCTGCTCGCGTGCACGCAGGCGCAGAGGCAGCCGTGGCTGGCCTCCACCCACAGAAGGGTTTCCTTCGCTCCCGGGGTCACCAGATTTTGGTTGGCTAATCTGTCTTTGCACTGTTCCTTGTCTCAAATTCGACTGACTCACAGGGGACGGGTGCTTTCCATGCTTCAAAGGGAATCCAGAGAAAGTAACAGTGGCCCTCCAGCAGAAAACACGGGGGGATGAAGGTCAACCAGGCCTGGAGACAAAAGTGAGTACAACGGAGAGCGACCTGTGTTCTCAGAGGCGCTCCGAGACCTCGAGAAGTACAGGTAAAAGGCGGACAGACCCTCCCTCCCTCCCTCCCAGGGGAGAACACCTCCTTAAAACCTACAGCCAGTGAAGACGGCCGTGCAAAGGGGCCACGGCTCCACAGAAGAGCCCCTGTTTTCATGCAGGAGCCCCACGGTTCAGTTGGGCCTCTCCAGGCCGGGTTAGGAGAGAAGGCTCCCCGAAGCCCGGAAGAGCCGCAGCTGCAGCAGGCCTGTGCTGACCTCGCTGGGGGAGACGAAGCTAGGGCCCGGCTCAGCAAGAGGCCACTCCCCGTACTGCTAAGGTGCACAGGCCAGGCCGTGGGAGCTCGAGTGAGGAAACCAGGGTGGCTTGGGCCAGAACGGGGCACCTTAGGGCAACCCTGCTGGGGACGGGAGGGGAACGAGGGGCGAATGAAGAGCAGGCCCGGTGAGTTCTCTCAGGCGGGGCAATGTGACTGGAAGCAGCCATCTTGCCCCCCTCCCTTGCTTTTACGTGGGAGCTCACCCATATCCGGGTCCGCTCCCCACTGGCCTTCTGCATTGTGCTTCCAAGTTGCCTGGAGCCCGGCGGACCCATGGTCAGTGATCTTCCTCTAGGGCATTTCCAAACTGGGGGCTTTCTTTGGGCAAGCTTCAGCCCCCGTTCTCCTATCCGTACCTAGAACATCACTGCTTAATGGCTCCGTGGAAGAGCCCCACCTTGGCTTGCTCAGTATAATCTTGTTTCCAAGCACCCCATGACTAAGACTCCTCGGTAGCCATGGAAGGTTGAGTATCAGTTGGAAAAGAAAAAAGAGAAAAGGTGGGACGCCCCGATTCTTGACTGGATGGACCTTTGGTGGGATCCAACAGGCAGGCTGTAAATTCAGCAGAGTTAGTCAATGTGTCAGTGTTTCTGTCCAAATGGACCTTTAGCCCCAGTGTCAGAATAGGCCTGAAAACCATAGATTGGTGCCAAATCGGTGGACAGGGATATGGTCCTTCAGGTCCCATGTGTGGGCTGGCTGGAATCATCATGTTCAAGGGGGCAGAACTGCAGGCCTGGGGATCCAATCCTGCCCCCGGCGTGCTCCGGATGGTCCCACTCCCTTCCCCAGACTCCACCACCTTTCCTACCCAAATCACACGTGCGTCTTCTGCCTTCGAGCAGCCCCCGACCCTTCCAAAAGACTGAAATGCCTCTCTTAAAGCTTAGATGAAGTTGGTGACGATCACTTCTCTACCAAGCAGGGTCTTGGGCAGAGGGAAGGCAGCACCATCGATAGTTCCGGGTTTCTTCCTGTTATTATCCTGGCTTTTCCTCTGGGAAGGGACCCAAGGTGGTTTAGATAAGCAGCCCCCCTGGGACCACCTCTCCCAAGTCCCCAGTCCAACTCAGCTGGCTAAGCGAGACTCCAAAGCACTCCAACGAAAAACAGCAGTTCCCAGAAACTCAGCAAGAACACCGTGAGACGGCTCATTAACATCAAGTGTTTTATACCATCCATTTGTATTTCTGAATTGTCAGCCTCTGCAACGTAACTTGAACAAGGACTGTTATTTTTAACCTTCAGAAGCATTTACCCCTTTATAATGAACACCCCACTTAAAATAAATATGCTTCGTTTGTTTGGGTTTTTTGGTCCTCTTTCCTATTTCAAGGAGACTTATGTCCTGCTGTTCAAAACGATTTTCTAAGGATTGTTTTCTTGACATAATAAAACAGGAATGCAGAGCAGATTAAAAACAAACAAGCTAATTAAAAGAGGGTGGGGGGGGGAACCAAAGCAGCTAAGCAGTGTTTTTGTTGTGAGCCGCCCCGAGGCTTTGTTGCGATGGGGGCAGCACAGAAATGTTTTAAATAAATAAAAGAAATGGGAAGGTCGCTCAACGGGTAACATTGCTGGTTCTGCTAACTGCATGGTGGGCATTGGTGTGTGGAAAGGAATTAACAGTGTCCAGCGGATGCCCTGCATTAGAGGACAGAGTGGACCATACTATGCGGCCTTCCCTGAACCTCTTCAGAAAGCCTGCTGCCCCCAAGTGGCCGGAGGACTAGGTCCCGTTTTGAAAGTTCCCCTGCCCTCTTGGCTTGGCGTCTCTGCACAGAACGGAGTAGCACCACCTTGTTGTCTGGCCCAGTCTGGCCAGGGAGCGTCATCCTAGAAGTGTCCAAATATAGAATCCCTTTTAACTGCAGTGTGTCTGGCAGGAAAACAGACCCTGTGCCTATTGACTCCCGGTGGTGCAAATCTGGGTCAGTTTTGTGTCTGACGGAAATCCACCAAATTCTTCAAATTCAGGGGAAAAGCACTTGAGAGCGTAAAAACCTGCATGCATATGGGCAACCCGCCTCTTCTTTAGGAGAGGCATTTTCATCATTTTGGACAGAGCAAAAGGGGCACGAAAGCAGGGAAGCCATCAAATGATTGTTGGGGCGAGAAAGGGCCAGGACAAAGGAAACTTCCGCATCGCAGGATACAGCCTCTTTCTAATCCATGAATCCGGCTGCAAAGACTCCAAAATGGCTATTAAATCTTGCAGTTGGGTGGGGGACTAACTGTGGGGGGGAGATGCAAAGGCCCAAATTAATCTCCCAGAATTCTACTGCTGTCAAGGGTCCAGCCAGAGCCCAATTCAAACGCAACCTGTGTGTGTTAGCCTTCTCGACTGTGCGCGATTCAGTAAGATGCAAACAGAATTATTTTAAAGAAAATACTTGCGGTTTTAATAACCGTGAGATATAAACACTTGTGCAACTCCGCACAAACAAACCCAAACTAAGCTAGTTTCTCATCGTCTCCTCCTTCTCCCGGAAGGTGGGGAATGAGGATGGGGGGACATGTTCATTTTCTAGAAACTGCTAAAACCTTCTTTTAATTTTTTTAAAAAGAGAGTTTACAATGATTTTTCCTCCCCTGACGGGCTGCAGAAAAACCTCTGCGCTTTTATTTTTGCTCATCCGAGTGGTTCTGACCTGCTCTATAATTATGTTACTTTCTACCTACTGTGCAAAGGCATTTTTTCAACGACGCACCTCTCACAGTTCTTTCTCGGGTTCCCGTGATGCCGTCACTCAAACGCTTTTCAAACCAGCGATGTAGAAATCAGAAAGAAAAGGAAAATGGCTAGAGACACAGTAAGAATAAGTGCCCCTGTTTCTCCCCACTCCTTTTCACTCGCTCCCCTTCTTTCCATCTCTCCCCTGCCATTCTCTCTTATTTTTATGTTATTCATTTAATCTCCCCACATGAGAATGCAAACCATAATGAAGGGTTGGGATGGATTATTAGGAGCTGTTGATTTCGAAGGGGAGGGAAGAAAGAGCCAGAGACAGAAAAGGAGGGGATAATTTGACATTTACTCTGAGTGATCTAAACTGATTTGAGTATATTTATGGCTTATAAAGTGTTTAGAAGGGCTGAAAGGGGTTGAAGGGAGGTGGGAGGGGGGAAAAGTCATGGGAGAGAAAACTAGACAGCGCGTGATGGAGGACAAGCATAATGCAGAAAAATAGATTTGACTTTTAAACAAGACCTTTGCTTAATTTAAAACCAAAAAAATGAAAATAAAAAAATAAAATTAAACCCCCCACCTAGTGATTGCCCTGAAGCCGTCAGACATGCCTTTCTTTCACCTTTCTTGGCTTTTAGTTCTGTGCTTGAGAGTACAAGGGGCAAGGAAGTCGTGAAGGCTGTGAATCACGGTGCAGGATATGTGGACGATGCAGGATAGACAGACGTCTGCTTCCACCCACCGCATCCTTACACTATGGAACTCTCTGCCACATGATGAGACTGCTCCTTTAGCCTGGGAGGCTTAAACTCGCGGGAACTCAGTGCAAAAGGTGGATTCTTAGAATGAAAGAATTCTGAGTCCCAGGTTTCGTTCAGAGTACCAAAACACTCCTTCTGCACAGAAATCTGCTTTTGGCCACCCAGCATTACTTTTATTCTAGGATTGGTGTCTTCAGAGAAAAATTACCAGGCTGATGTGCTCTGGGAAGCTAACCCTTGTGGTTCTACCCTGGCTGGGCTGGCCTGAAAAGGGGATCTGAGAAACACCTGGAGAATAAGACTATCCATGGCTGACGGCGACGTGCCTTGTCCCGCACCAGAGGACACATGCCGAAGGACAGCCATCGAAACGGCTGTGGGCCATGCTGGGGGACCCTATGGACATCTGCACTGCCTCGTTCCAGAGCCGCCTATTCTGTGCTCCAGTGGGTCCCAGCAACCTTGCAGAAGCCTCCCCATGCAGGCACCCTTTAACTGGGCATGCCAGTGGCTGAACTGGGATGCAAGCTGGTGATCCGCTGCTGCCTGGGGGACCTGCCTGGTGAGCTCCGCTGAGCCCCCTTGGGGCACCGGCTGTTCCTCAGCCCAGCCCTGCCTCGAAAGGTTGTTGTGGGGTTCACTTGGAGGTGCGAGGCGTTTTCTGCCCTCTTCTCTGGACTCACCTAATGAAGCTGGTGGGTGGGAGCATCAGAACGGACCAAGGGAAGGGCTTTTGCACCGCACATGCTCTTCACTCATCTGGCTTCCACAAGATGGCGTGGCAGCCACCAACCTGGACGGCTTCGAAAGTGGATTGGGCCCATTCACAAAAGAGAGGGGTGCCCCTGGCCACAGAAGCAGCACTCCCATGTCCCCCAGTCGCTGGGGAACATGAGCAGAGAGCGCTGTTGCCGAGTGCAGCAGAAGCCAAGGTCCGTTTGGCTCCTGTTCTCACGATGGTGCCATGATTTCAGAAAGCCGCAAATGCAGCAGGGCCCCCGCTTCAGGGTGTTTGGCGCGTGTCTTTTGACTAAGACGCAAAGAGCGGGGTTATGGGATCATTTGGGGCTTGCTGCCCCGTTGCAGACACACACACAATCAAGTGTTTATGCCGTTGGGATTTCAGGGTGCTTTGAGACTACTGTTCCTCGCACTATCCATCAAAAGACACCGTGTCGGTCTGATCTGTGCCGCTTATTCATTTTGGAGGTGATTCTAGGTGTGTTCAGACAGAGGAGAATTCATGACTCTCGTGCCAGCCAGGGGCGCTGGGAACAGTGGGCCTTTTCGGTCCAAGCATGCACAGGATGGCAGCCTTAGTTTCGGGTATTAAATTCGCTCGCTGTGTCACTGACTAGATGGACGGCGGCCCTTATCCGGTGCTGCCCTCCAGTTCTCGCAACGCGGATGTTCACAAGGCTTGCATCAGAGCCTGGAATGTCAACATGCCTTCTGAGATGGATGCTTACCTCACAAGTTCCTTGTTGTACAAAGACTGGCTCGACTCCCGACCCAAAATGTACACGTTGCCTTTCAAGATGGAAACCTGGACTTTCCCCTCCACAAGCTCCTGGGACTGGACGATGCAATGGCGGATGTACTCACACTCCGGGCTGAACCAGAAGCCTACAGAGGAGCAGAAGGAACAAGGTAAATCTTATTTGCACAGAGCTGAGTAGCTAAAGGCCGCTTGCTTCCAAACTCAGGAGAGGAATAGAAGCAGGAGAACGATCTCATTGGTTTTTGCGTTGGATTTTGGCACTGTGAATTACCTGGGTGCGTTTCTGGAGTGGAATGGATGCATTAAGGATCCACTATTTTCTCCTTGAAAGGAAAGGAAAGGAAAGGAAAGGAAAGGAAAGGAAAGGAAAGGAAAAGGGGAACTTTTCTACTGTGTGCTGTGCATGTGAGCTTTCCAGCAGTTCAATCCAACCTTGGTGGGAGTGAGGCATGATGCAAATTTGCATGTGGATGTGAAATAACAATTAGACCAGCAATTAAAACTGCAAGAAGGAACAATATCGAAAGTTCAGCAAAACATTGCAAAACAGAAGATCAGTGACCAAAAGCTATCCTTCGATGGGCAAGCTAGAAGGGAGCACTGAAATATACCTGAGTAATGTTCAGTTGCATCCACTTGCCTTTCTCTTTTTGCACTCAAACCACCTCTTATTTTGTTCGTAAATCCATTTACATGTGTGATCTGTGTCCAAATGCAACTTTAGGTGCGTTTTGATACCTTTTGTGCCAAAAACTGCATTCCCAAAAGTCAGAGCAAGCTTAAGAATAACAGTAGTTCTGATCTGTGTATGGGATCCAGGAAATGCAGAGCGAGCCCATTCTTTCTGCAGTCCAGACTGGATAAATTCTTTGCACCTCCCTCCTTGGAAACCACTGTTAGAACATGGCAAAAAAGATGGGAGCATTCTATGCTTAATTCGGAATGCAGTTATCATTTTAATTTTAATTCATTCTTAATTAACGATTACTATCACCAAGGACTATCTGGGGAGGTGGGTGGAGAGTTGATTTAACTGGTCTGCTAACTCATCATCACATCACACTTCTCTACCCCCCATAGCCGAAGCTCTCTGGGCGGTTCCCAACACTTTAAGTCACCCATCCAGATTTTAACCAGGCTCAGTTCTGCTTAGCTTCCAAGATTATCCAGCATCTGGCACTACAGGCCATACAGAATCTATATGGTTCATGACATCACACTGACTCGTGACCACTGATATAGGCTTCTTCCCAAATTTTGGAAACTTTTCCAATGCCCTAAATGGTTTGTGACTTAATTTAGGGCATTGAATTTCCACTTAATAAATTTAGTATTTAATGCATTGACTTAATAAAATGCATGTTTAAGGTATTTCATGCTCATTTTATATTTTGGATAAATCTCTCCAAACCCCCTTTCCCCAGATAGCTGTTTTTCAACTGAATAGCTGATTAATAAGGAAATTCAAGAAAGATTCCTTATAGCACAATTCTATTTATAGAATTGTAGAGGAAAGTAAATCAACACTGCTAAGGCTTCTCCGTGTTTGAACAGGTCAGGACATCAGTGGATCAGTTCCGCAAGAAGAACTGGAGTAGCATGGAGGGGAAGAGCCAAAGAAGCCCCCCAGACGAGGAAGCCCCCCATGGTGAGAGGGAAGCCCAGAGAACCCTGACCCGGCCATTAAGAAATTGCTGCAGGAACAAAATCCCTGGCGGACCCCCACCGTGCTTCTGTTGAGGAACCAGCCCCGATGCAGCTGAGAGAGGAGACGGTGGGCCGTTATCAGGCCGAGGCATCAAGGCCCATATGGCCCGGGTGGGGTCACCTTCCCTGCCCCTCTCATGTCGCAGTTAAGCGTGTGCCTCTGCTGTGTCGGGCCGGGCTCAGCTTTCCCTCCCCGACCGAGCACTCTCACAGGTACATCTGTCTACCTGAGCCTACATCCGAGCCTTTTGTCCCCTGCCCTCTGGGAAAGGTGACATTCAGTCTGTGCACCTCAGCACTCATGTTTCGCTTTAAATGGCACTTGTGTCGCCGGATAACCAGAGCCCCTAATTTCCCTCTCCTGGGACTAACCTCGCTGGCTGCCCCTTGGGGTGGGCGACACCAACCACCATGCTGCACATGGCCCATTTCGGAAACTCGTCGTCCCTTCCTGTTCTTTAATCCCCAAATGTTTCTCAAGGTAAGGTCACGGTCAGGTGCCACAGAACCAACCAACACAGCCATGATGTGGTAATAGAAGAGCCCAGAAAAATAACGAGAGGGACCTGGTCAGGGGTATACTGAGGCCAGCCGTGACAACACTCAGCACTAGAAGCTTGACCGGTCTCAGTGGGGAAAGAGTTCCATGGGGAGGTGCCAAATCAGAGAAGGCCCCGCTCCTTGCCATGGTGCAAGCAACCTCTTTCGGCCGCTCCAGCAGAACAAGGAGGCACAAGGCCCTCCGAAAAGGACAATGAAGCTGGGGCAGCCGCTATAGCAGACCATGCCGCACATGCATTTAACTGCACGGGTGCACGTCTTTGCAAGTTGCTGGGTTTCCTTGTGCGTTTCTGACCTGATTCCTGATGGTGAGCACACATCGTTTCAGGGCTGCCCTTTTGGGTGAAGGGGTACATAGGGAATCTTATATATCACACACAAATAAATGTACCGAGTGAAGTGCTCCTCCGGGGTGCCCCCCCCAAGGAGGGTCTCTTCAATCCTAGGGCCAGCTCAGTGTGAAATCCAAAAATTGCATCCTGCCTGCTCAACACGGGGCCCCCTTGTCCCAAAGCGCATGGAGGTTCCAGGAGACCCCGCGGCCAGGATCAGCCTGGAGGCCGACAGCCCCGCGTTGAGCTGGTGAGGCCACAGGATCAAGCCAAGTCCAGTGCAGAGCTATCCTAGCCTATCCTTAAGGTCACTGTGAGCTCATGGGCACCAGACCAGATTGGGACCACCACACAGGGAATTGGGGGGGGGGGTAATGCTTCCTGCCTAGCTGTGACCCCCACCCCCATCTGCCACTTTCTAAAAGGATGTTTTTGTCATTGGCTTTGCCTGTGCACATGTCAGAGAGAGAATATTCAATCCAGAGGGAAAGACATAGATCAATGAGGACATAGTTTTATCCACAAAGGACTCTTACATATTGTCCAAATACATACATTATTTTCTGGTACAATGGAAAGACTAAGCTGATTTCCATGCCAAAGAAGCACCTTTGCCATTCTGTTTGTAGCCTGTGAACCTCTGCTGGAAGTTTGCATTCAAGGGGGCTGCACCCAGGAGAAAAATTTGCATCTCACCTACCACTGGATTGCTCACAAATTCATTTCCATTAATGCCTGATCAAAATTAATCCATGAGCCTCTTGGAATTAAAGCAAACTGATACTGACACTTCTGAGTTTGCAGTGCCATTTGCAGATTAAAATCAGAGAGGGGTTCCAAAACTGCACCCGATCGGTGCACACCTTTGGGGAAATGCACATGAAAATGTGTGCAGTTTTAGGCAGAAAAAAGCTTGTCATCTGAGGTAGACACGGGTCAGAATGAGCTTGGAGGGCAACCTCAGAGAAGTCAAGCATGGGTGGTTTCCCATCAGGTTCTTTGCCAGTGCTGGGCACCCGTGGGCACTGAGGATGCCGAACTGAAGGCAAGGAACAACACTGCTCTCCTTGTTACTTGGCTCCAAGATAGTGTGGCAGAGCCAATGCAGTTTGAAGCCAGTTCTCAGTGAGGGTCGATGGATTCTGCCCTCACTCCCCATACACAGCACCAAAATGCAGCAGGAGGGAAGGCAGAGCTGCCAGATCCACAAACAGACCAAATCAGGCGTCCAACTTTAAATCAGTAAGCAAACGACCTGAAATCTGAGCATTCCCACACTGCCTTCCCTCACTCCTATCTTCTATGCACGACAGACATTTTGCTGCTTCCTCGTTCAGTTGTTCACTTAACTCTGTATCGACAGGCCCAGGAATCTCTCCTTTTTCTCAGCCCAGTTTTTCTCCCCTTCTGGCTTCTTCAAGATGCATTTTTGACTCCGCCCCCTGCCCTGAAACAGCCTTCCCATTTCTCCACAGCAACCCAGTCCTAGCCCTTAAAAAACAGGAGGATCTGTGGGACATCGTGCCATTTCCAACACCTGGCCTTTCCTTGGCACAGAGAGAGAGAGAGAGAGAGAGAGAGAGAGAGAGAGAGAGAGAGAGAGAGAGAGAGAACACGAAGGCTGAGAAGTCTTTGTGGAAAGCCCTCCTTTCCTGTGGAGAGGTGGGGAGTAGAGAAGGGAATTTACCAGGGGAGGAAGGAGCTGGCAAATGGAAATTGCCTTAAATCCAGGGAGATTAGTTACAATCATGAGGTGTTTAAGGAAGACGGGGCAGGGATGCCTGGCCTCCACAAGCTACTTTTGCTAAGAGGAGCCCTCTGTGATCTGAGAGGCAGCTAGACACACACACACAACTTTCTTTGCACGCTAGATGACTGCCAGGTTTTTGTATGTGGAGCAAGAGAACGCTTAAACCAAAATGTGAATTTGTTTCCAATAAAACAGTGAGGAGAGACTGGGAGAGCTGGGTCTCTTCCCTGGAGAGGAGGAGACTCCAAGGGGACCTGTTAGCGACACACAGGTACGTGAGGGGGTGCCACGCAGAGGTGGGTCATGACCTTTTTTCCCTGCAATGGAGGGCAGGGCAAGCTCCAATGGAGCAAAGCTCAGGAAACCAAGATTTAGGGTGGATGCCAGGAAGTACTAAGTACTGGTTAAGAGCACAGGAATGGGACTCAGGTGATCTGAGTTCTAGTCCCTGCTCTGCCACAAAGACAACTAGGTGGCTGGGCCAGTCACAAACTTTCAGCCCAACCTACCTCACAAGGTTGTTGTTATGGGGATAAGAGAATGGTGAGCTCTTTTGAGATTGTTGTAAGAAAAAGTGGGATATAAATCCCGAATAAACCAATAAGGGAATGGAGGGGAGATAAATTGACCTAATTAGTTGCCTCCACATTTTCAAGCACACTGAGTTGAGTGCACACTTAGTTATGGGAATGTACACTTAATTATCCTTTGGGAATACGGCAGTGGGACCAGCTGCCTAGAGAGGTGGGTGGCTCTCCCACAGTGGAGACATTCA